CGAGAAGCCTCAGCTCAGAGTTAAGGATGCTGTGTTAGCCATCTTCCAAGAACACCCAACCAGAAGCCCGGTCTCACTCGCAGGGAAGTGATTTTTCATCACCTTCAGGAGCGACCCAATCAGAAGCCTTGTCTCAGAGCCAATGAGTAGACAGTCATGCAAAAACCCTGTTATTTCCTCAACAGTTGGTGCAAGGGCCATAGCAGCTTGTAGAGCAGCACTGCGAATCTCCCCCTAATTGTCAATGTGTACGTGTCTCGGCGGTGTACATACTGTAATATAAAAGAAAGGAATACATTTGCATAACATTGGCAGAGAGGCGCTCTAATCGCCAGGAACACGGCCAACTCGTTTGATTATTTCCGAAAGCATATACGATGATGCACCCACTGCGTGACATTCTTCTCACCTGCTTACTCAGCCCATCTTTATTTACCCACAAATTCGACCTCCAAACGGAAATAACATGGACTTTTTCGACCAGAGAGAGCCGCACGTCAGCTTCCGCAATTAGCGGCACATAGTTGACCGTTAAAGATCGGACCGGTCAGATTTACCTAACGTGCCTCTGCTGTGCTATTATGTGTGACTCTGCTACGAAACCACTGGAAGCCATTCAGCTATTTCTGACAGTACTGTCACAGAGAAAGAGAGAGAGAGTACAGTAGTGGTTCAGACCTCTACGAGACACCTTCTCCTACAAGTGAATCCAGACTCTCACCAATGCTCAGTGAGTGACAACCCAGCACACCAGAAGGACTCGGCAGACTGGGTTAATCTGAACCAGGTCCTCAGAGGTGATGCAGAACTCCAATTTCTTCACAGGCAAAAACTTTTGGTCAATCTTTTACATTCAATCACGTCTCTGTCCTCCCAAAAACACCACAGTTACACTTGCGCAGGTCTCCCTGCTGAAAACAAATGCACACTGAACAGCTGCGTGCCCTGCCCGCGAAAATGCAGTCTCATTGCTGAGTAATTATGCAGTTAAAGATAATATATATATATATATATATATATATATATATATATATAATATAATTAAAACAATGATGCTTTATTTTATTATCATCTATAACTGGTTCCAGTCTAAGAAACCCCTAAATTAGATCTCGGGATTTTACGTTAACCCATGTTGTTTTCCTTGTATAACAGCAAATGTTCTCTAGAGGATCTGATGCCACTTTTGGTTTCACTTTTATCCCCAATGCAGCAGTACCCCAAAATTATTCTTTGCTTGACGTATTCCACCACAAACATAGACCTAGAATAAGGAATGTGAGAAAATTATACTGTGCAAAAGATTATGGATGGCGAATTAGATCAAAACAAAGCAAAGAGATGTAAATAATATTTACCATTTAACAATGAGTTAACAAGTAGCTGCCTGATATACAATCAATGCTGCATATTAGTGGTGTAACGGTTCTGAAACCAAGGTCGAAACCATGATACAAACATTCTTGTTCTCATGTCACAGTTCTGGAAGACGGAACCGCGATATCCACCCCTGCCAGAACCCCAACCACAACCCACTACCAGGTGCACCCTGTTGAACACTCAATTACATGACTGATGTCCCAAAAATTATTTTATATTTCATAATTAACTCTATAACACATGCAAACCATGAAACTATAAATCAATTTAAAGTTAGGGCATGCTGTTTCATTTGTAAATTTTGCACATTATACCTGTTTTATTGTCTTCAAACTGTGTGTCATGTGACTATTTTGATCCAATAATGGTCAAGTGACCACACCAGCGGTAAACGCTAGGCTAGTTTCACTAGCTCAAGATGGATAATAACCTTTAGACTGCAGAGCACCCAGGCACATGCATGTCAGCAATGTGGGAACATTTTAATTATATAGTACAGTATATAATTTTTAAACAATTGTTTTTTTAAACAAATTATTTTTCTTTTTTACGTAGTCATTTTAGTAAATCTAACATGTTCTTTAGTGTTATTCTGTTTAGTGTTCCAAATCATTGGTAAGTTAATTAAACTCTGTAAATGTTCCCATTTTTTTAATTAACCCCCCCCCCCCCAAAAAAAAAAAAAAAAACAAGGTATGGAGCAAACCGCAACTCAAAAATCGAAGTGTGAACCAAACCGTGGATTTGGAAAATCATTATATCCCACCTGCATAATATGTTTATAGGGTGAAAAAACCTCACTGTTCACAGAGACGCATTATTACTTACAGTAAACTATACCCATTTTGCTAATAATTATTATTTTTCTGGAATCTGTTCACATTAAAAATGGTAGGACACAAGACGAAAATGAATCAGAGAGTGTGACTTCCACAGGAAGAAAATCAAACAGTGGATCTAAATAAAGGCATCACCTTAACGCAAAAGTTAACCGAAAGCTGACGCAAAACTGTCCATCTCTTAGGGGCAGATAAAGGCAAACAATACACTCATAAGAAAAAAATGGCCACAGCCCGTCTAGGACAAAGCTGTTTGGGTCTCTAACTGCTAAGCGATCTCTGCGTGGCAAATGCCAGACACATCAAACGGGACTCTTCACAAAAAGGCCAGTACAAAAGCCCAGGTCTTAAAACATTTATGCATGCATCATTGGTAAGAGCTCTCCCTGGAATGGGAGGAGATTATTGTCCAACGGCAGATTCATTAAGTGACAGCGGCCTTTTAACTAACTTTAATGGGTGGCGAAATCACTATAACAGGCCCGGTGATCTGGCATTTTACAGCGACGTTTTATTTCCTCATAAGGTCTACCATGCGGGTACACAGCACGGCTAGGAGTTTCACATACGCAGCTCTCACCGCCGTGAGAAATCATATCACTGCACCGGGTTTGGGTCCAGGATCTGGGCAACAGTAACCAAGACACAATATGGGACCGTTTCAATGGACTTTCTAGGAACCATCACATTTGAGGAAATGAAACAACTTTCAGATCGGTGTCTATCACCATCACCTCCTGAAATCCAGCCCATCTCTTAAACCGCTGTAGAAAAGCTCTTGCCGTGGGTCTGTAATCTGATTTCATCCCCTGTGTCTCGCGTACCTGGGCCCAACGCTCATTGTTCTCACAGGTTAAGAGATTTCCTCTTCACCGAGGTGGGTGATGCTGGCTGAATTTGCTGCCACCTCACGGACACATGTGACCAACCAGAAAAGTCCGTCCAGAGAGAGGCCTTTGCAGACTGAGGCTTATAGAGTGTCAGCTGCTGTGGACTCTCTTGCCCTTTTATCAATATCTATGCATAGACCTTCCTTGGAGATTCACCACCTGGTTGTCAGTCACCGGTGCGCTATTGGGGAAACATAGCCTTTTTGTTGGCAGCATATTCTTCCGTATTGTCTCATTTCCTTCGTGTTGAGCCCAAAGCAGCAGGAACAATGAATCACCATCAGGGTGAGCAGGTCACTGCATCTACAGGGTCAAAGGTTCAACAGAGCATTCATCCACTCCAAGTTAGACCACGTCTGATTGATAATAGTCTTTTGATATTCACCAAAAACCATCCACAGCAGCTTGGGTGGTGTTAAAGGATACCACCGTACCTCGGAATCTAAGTGTCAAGATTTCTGTGGGGAGAGCGGTGGCTCAGGGGGCAACCCCCCCCCCCCACAAATTTTATTGCCAAGTTTGCAAAATATCGGAATAGCACTACTTTTGAAAATGCTGTCAAAACACTGGATGCCATGATATAATGTTGGGACAGTATGGTGGTAAGAAAAAAATCAGATACTGTCCAAACCTCCTTTTATGCCACTGGATACATTTTTTTGGAGGGAGGAGGCACAGAAACAGCCCTCGTGACATCTGGTGGACTCTCCACAGCGACCATCAGCCGTAATGCAGGTCAGCCGCTGCTTCCTGATGGACAGGCAGCTGGAGGAAGCCTCTCCGGGCCTCACCTGTGACCCTCAGAGGAGCTGGCTGCCGGCCCACCCACAGACGCCGATCTCCGTGACATTCACTATCCCGGAGAAAAGCCAGCATGTGAGCGAACGTGCGAGTCGCTGACAAAGAGGTGGGGGGATAGTTTAGCTGCTTATCAGACACTTTGCATGCAAGCCTTCAACGGCATCTTATCACCTTATCCAGGCTGCGGTGGGAGTGTACTGGGAGGCCATTAGCAGAGCACTGGGGTCTTCCTGTTTCTAAACCGCCCTTGCCTTCTGACTTCTTTGCGATGATTTATTGCCATATAAATTGACACAGCGTAATGCTGCAAGACTGTAATTGTAATTGTAATTGTTACTGACTGTAATTGCTGTGGTTTCTCGTTGCTACTACATCTTCTGTTAAAAACTCTAGAGTAATAATTGTAAGACGGAAGCTAATCTAAAAGTAATTGCACTGGAATGAATGGATCCCCAGAATCTTATTTCTACAGCACTGGCCATATACTGGAATCAGACCTACAGGGGGTCATCAGGGGAACCTTAAGTGGCTCAGCAGGTTATGGGATCTATGCCCATATCCAGAAGGTTTTGAGTTCAAATACCATGGGTAGCTGAAATATTGTTTTGATCTTCTGAGCTTGAGCAAGGTGCTTAACCCCA